TTTCGGTCTTTCGTACTTTACGGGGTTTTGTTGTTTTAGTATTTTTTATTGTTTGTTTTGTGGTTTTTTTGTTCGACTGCGTCCNTTCCCGTCGCTGCGTGTGTGTCCTTCCAATGTCATTTCTGTTTCTTACGCCTAGCTGCCATTCGTGTTGATTTGCCGTCTCATTGTATCTTGTCAGCCCTCTTTTTTTCGTGGTTTTTTTTTTTTCCTTAGTGCAGGTCGTCTGCATGTGTAGGAGCTAACACACACACACACACCATGTCGCTCACGCTGTGGAGCGGTGGGAACCTTTGAGGACGCGTGCACGCACGAGTGTTCTGGTGGCGGCGGCCCTCGCCAACATGCCAGTGGCGCTCAAGCCGTGATGGTTTGGCCGCGAGAACGGGATGGAGGAGGTGTTGCTGCAATTTTGGTCAGTGCGGCCGCTACCCCGCGCTGCAGACGGAGGAGGGCTGCGTCTTCGAGTCCGTCGCCATCCTGCGGCACATCGAGCCTCTCGATCGGGGCGGCTTCCTGCACGGCTGAACATCGCCGGAGAGCGGACGGGTGGAGTTGCAGGCAGCTCCTCTGGTGAGGCTGACCAACCTGTTGCGGTGCGGTGGTGGTGCAGTGCCCGCGCTGCCGTTTGTCTGCCAGGGTGGGGGCGGGTGTTGTGCCACCGGAGGGGGTCCACGCGGCGGGTTCACGGTGGGCCGCTCAGAGGAGCCTCGTGAACTGCACGCTCTTTCGCTGCTGGGCGGTGGAGGCTCAGCGGGAGTGGAAGGAGTGTGGGATGCTTCGTGCCGTCCTTGAGGCCCAGCCCCCATGAGCTTCGTCAGGAGGAGGCGAAACCAAAAAGGCCGCGCTGCCGTCTGACTTCCGTCAGCCCACACAGTGCGTAGGTGTGGGCCCAAAGACGTTGTTGTTGTTGTTGCTTTCTTTGGAGGTATTTTATTGTGAATTTCCGGCGGCGGAGGACGGTTGGGCTGCAGGTTGCTGCGGCGGCGCCGGCACAGTGAGGCAGTTCAGTGAGTGCACGGCGAGGTGTATTTGATAAAATGGGGAAACTTTCGTTGACGAGTTGTTGCGGGGGAATTATTGACGTGCGGCACGCTGCGAGTGGGCCAATCAACACACGTGGCGGGGGTGTGACACCGTCGCGCCCCGAGTTGCTGCTCAGCGTAAAGAGGAGGAGAAGACGGCTCGTTTTTTGGGGCCGGAAGGTGCGTCAGTGCCGGGTGGCGACATCGTATGGAGGTGTACATGCCGTGCGTGGTGGGTGAAGTGGTTTCTTGTTTTTCACTCAACCTTTTTTGAGGTGCTTCACTTCCACGAGCACCGCGGTGCGGCTGGGAGGCGGCGATTGCGTTTAGGTTGTTGGTGGCGGTGTCGCCGCGAGAGTTTGTTTTTGTTGCCGCAGAGGGAAGGCATCTGCTGCGTGTGTCTTGTCGTGGTGGTGCTGCTGCCACCTTCATTTACTGCCAAGTCGCGTGGAAGAAATGGTGCTGCGTGCGCCGTTTATTTTATTGTTTTTCTAAAAAATAAATTACGCCCCACTCCTGCTGCAGTGCGCTGAGGGAAGTGGCGGCGTTGGGGAGTTTGTGGGGGCCGTGATGGGAAGTCCCGCCGGCATGCGCACTGCGTGTTGCTGCTGGCGGGGTTTGAAGGGGCTGGGCGGGGGAGACGGTAAGCGAGGTGCTTATGAATTTGTTTTTTTATATTATTTTTGATTTCTGCGGGAGGCGTCCCACACTGCGGACTCTCCGTGCGTGTGGGCGTTTCTTCGGGCGGCGGCGAGT